ACATTATTTCACAAATCGTAGAACATATTAACATGTGGAGTCAACAAATCATCTCTGCAAAATGTCCGGTGCCCTTCTGAGAACACAAAAATGGTTTTGCTGCCTTAAGCACCAAGTCAGCTAGTTAGCATCTTACTTTCCAGGAATGAATAATTCACTGTACTGCTAAGTGTCAACCAGACTTGGTTGCAATCAATCAAGGTATTTATTGCTTCCTCCTAAATTGAAGCTCTGTGTACATTTTTCTGACAAATCTGAATTACTGGCTCAGTGTTATTCCTTGAAAGAGGAATCAATGAATGCCAGCAGTTCTCTCTACTTCAAGTTATTTACTCTTCAGCATCTCTACGATTTCCAATTTTTAAAGTATTGGGAAAAATAGGGGTAAAGAGAGGGTGCTGCTGAGAAACTAGCAGTAATGTATCATTTTCACTCTCCGAGACAGTGGGCATGATGTGCTGATGAGCAGAATGATCTACCAAGTTATCTACTGAATAAACTGGGGACAGAGTGGCTTTCCAACAAAGGGACTGTCTACAGGTCATATATTGTTTACGTCCCCCAAATGTCTCATATTTCTATATAAAGGCACCATGAGCTTAAGTGGATTTGGTCAATTCTCACATTCAAGCCAATTTTCCAAACCTGAAGCACACTTTTCATGCTTCTTGGAGAAGCCAGGGATACATTACCATTTGTCTCAAGATGCTTTTTAACTCAGTTAAGCGATACCTCCTTGCATGTGTTGGTTCAGCACAGAAGCAGCATCTGGAGCTGCTCCTGGGCAGTTGTTTTGGGAGTCCCAGCTCCTGTTCAAAGAGTGTGGCCATCTCTTCTGTACCACACCTTTGATACCACTGTTTGGCCTTCCTCATCAGTGGCCCTAGATTAGAAACGATTTTCTGAATGGGCAAATCTATTTTAGATCTTTTCTCCCAGCACCTGAAACACCATTTTCAAGGCTTCTGTTGTAGAGCTGAAAGGACAAAATTCTGATCAGTAAGACTAATTTATTGGGAGGGAGAAGAGCAGTTGACAGAGAAAAACAGCAATTTACGTTTTCGAGAGCTAAAGGGATTCCAAGAGGAGGTTGTTTGCCTTCTTCAGTCCCTGATTTCTTACCAGCATTAAGGTTTCATTTCCTTCACATGCTAGTGAGATTTTTAATGCTGCTTTGCTGTCTATTATACTTAGCAGTTTCCAGCCATGACTCTTCCTAGAGCCAACCTTCAGAAATTTGGAAAAACACTCCAAACGATTGAAGTTTTGATACCATTTTGGCTCTCTGGTATTACATCCACATGCAACTGATCTCTTTCATCAGAAATTGGCTCTGGTCTGCACTGTTTCCATGGAAAGCTTCCTCCGTTAATTTGAAAATCCATAGGATGTCAGTAAATTTCCCAGAGACTTAAGTAACGCTCTGCTTGGTGCAACTGCATGGTCCAGTGGTGAGGAGGACCATCTCTGAAGACGTGTTTTCGTTTCTGCCACGATGCTGCTAAGTAGCCTCAAACTGGAGACTGCATCTTTCCATACCTCTGCTCCCCTCACATATCACATCTTCAGGCTTTGTTGTCTGTTTTTTTGGGCTTTAAGTAGTAGTTTCCTGTGGGGTTTGTACAGGACCTAGCACATGGGGATCCCTGTCTCACTTGGTTTCTTTAGGCATTACTATAATATAAACCAGCAGCACTAATATTTTAGCTGTAGGGAGAAATGTGCTGGTTTGATGTGTGCTGTGTAGAATAAAAAGAAAGCTACTGCCCCTAGCCCAAAAATGTGAGTAGCATAGCAAATATGTTAGTGATCTCCCAGAAATGTTGAATGAGATGGATTCTGCCACAGCCTTCGTATCGCAGTGGGTTTTTAAGAGATTCGCCTGTCTCAGTGTAGCTTCAGACTGAAGTGCAGCCCCGAAAGTAACGCTGAGTCCTAGTGCTGAGTTTTAGAGAATGATTTTTCAAGGGTGCATGTTATAAAAAGAAAGGATAAATGGGCTGAAACAGCTATAGGAGCCAAAGCTTCTTGGCAGGGCTTTACAGAAAGGCTGGAGAAATGTTTTTAAAAAGTGAATAACCTGCAAAATAAACAGAGTAGTGCAGCATGGGTTAAAGCGGTCCTGGCAAGAAGGTAGCAGCAGTCTCCAGGTTTGCAGGACTTCCCTCCATGCACACCGAGATCCTTGTGCTGTCTCGTGCCTTTGCGTGAGCGTCTGCAGGGACGGTGCAGTACGAGAGCGCAGGCGATCGCTGCGCGGTGGAGCCGGCGTGGTGGTGGCAGCCGGGGCGAGGAGGGGTGATCTCTGCCTGCCCTTGGCGCTGCGGCCAGTGAGGGAGACGGGACCAGAGCCGCCCTTCACGGCTGGGCAGGAACACCACGGTGCCAGGCTGCGCAGGGAGGTGCGGGCTCTGCAGCTCCAGTTTTTAGAGCATCCTTCTGCCAGCCAGCATAAATCCCATCGCAAACTTTGGAGTCGAGTCTCTTCCCTTGAAAGGCAAGCAGAGGAGTGAGGAGTGCCCTGACCTGTCTGGAAGAGTCCTGAAATGCAAAGAGCACGAGAAGTTAGCTGGGTGCAGAAACAGGTTTGTAAACACCAGCATGTTGCTGGGGAGAATATATCTAAAAGCTGATGTTACAGCTGTCTTCATGCTCTCCCTGTTCAATGTTTCCGAGCTGCTGCATGGGAATCTCGATCCTTCAGTTCTCTCCTAAGTTTCTCCTGGCTGAGGCTGTCAGTGGGATTGTTTCTTCTCTTGGTCCTACTGGCCTGTCTGTGAAGTCCAAGCTGTTTGTCTCAACCTCTCTGTTGAAATGGGGTCACGAAGCCCCATTGCTGTGGGGCTGCAGGATGGTGCTGCCCTCCCAGGTGCTCCCATAGGTCTCCTGAGCACCACAAGGCTTGGATGGTGGGAGAACGTGCATCACCTGCCTGGCACTTGGCCAAGGCCTTGAAGACCATGAACTCTGACTGCAGGGAACCTGCACAGCTTTGAAGGGTGTCCGAGGTTTCCATGCCTTAAGTTTCCTTAGTTCTCTGGAGTGAGCTCCTTGGGTCAGAGCAGCCCTTTGGGGGTTCCCATGTCCTTCTGTGTTACGGGGTTCCTCCCCACCAATGTTTCTAGGTACATTGATGCTTTCCATGCCAGTCGCACTGGAAGTCAAGGTTTCCAGTTGTGTGGTTTTAAAGGATATTTTCAGTGGTGGAGTCAAGAAGGCATTAAGCTCATATTCACCAGCATGTGGACCTCTCTTGACCAGAAGTGCTTTTGGAGTTCACTCCACGTATCTTCTCCCAGCTCTACGTTGTGCTTCCCCTTTGCCTGCATAACTGCTGGCGTCCTGCCAGCGTCAGCTTTGGCTGCTTCTCCTCCATGGTGGGGCCCATCTGCCTGGCATGGCCCTGGGAGCCAGCTGGCAGAGGGGCAGCCAGCCTTGGGGACTGCAGGGGAGCTGCGAGCACCACAGCCCCTGCGCGTCACTGGCTGCGCCGCCGGACCGGGACCCAGACACTGCTCATGGGCACCTGCGTCTCTGCAGGTGAGCACACCTCCTCCAGCTGCCTTCTCCTGCCCAGCTGACGTCTAGAAAGTAAGGTTTTAAAGGAGAGTTTCAGGATGGTTCCTGCAAGAGGGCGCTGGAACAGCTGCAAGACGTAGCAAGTATCACATGTGAACATAAAAAGTGCCCAATTGACCCTTACCCATGGTCCATCCAGCCCAGAGGAGCTTCTCTGACTGCGGTGATGGAAGATACTCTTTTGGAAGAGCCCACAAACCTGGCCACACTCCCCAGCACTGTCCCAGTAGCCAAAGACGCGGAGGTTGTGCCCTTCCGCTCCCCTGGCAGTTTCCAGTTATGGAACTGTTGTCCATGAATTTGTCAAACCCATTTTTGAACCAGTGCTGCATCTGCTGCCAAGCTCTGGTGTGGCGAGTTTCAGCAGTTCTCTCCCTGCTGTGGGTAGAGGTGCTTTACAGGATGTAGATGGAGTATTTTCAATAAAAGATGTTTGGGAATGGGATCTTCTGGGATCTCTTACCAGCAATGACCAGCAGTTCAGGCTGAAGTTGCTCAGTCTCTGCTCTGGTTTGCATGAAAAAAAACCCACATAAAGTTCTAGCAAATCTTTAATGAAAATGAAATGATAAGACTGGGATAATACCTACCTCATGCTGCTCGAGGGTTAATTAATGTTTACAAAATCACTTCAGGTCCTGAGATTTAATTGAAGGAAAAATATTACCATATAAAATGTCTTTTTATGCAGGCGGTGCTATAAGGTTTCAGCTGGGCAGAGTGCCGTGGAAGCCAGCGTTAGCACATGCTTTGCTACTTTTATGGTCGTGAGGCTTTCTGTGGTTTATATGAAAATTGTCTCTCTAAAATCACAAATGTAACATCCGTGTTTTCCTCTCACTTTGAAAGAATATTGATTTACAATCTTAGGACTTGACTGGCTATTTAAACGGCTGTAAATACAATTCACCTCTGAGGAAAAAAGTATAAAATGAAATATCTGTTTACTTGCTTGGGATGAGCTGATACAACTTCCTAACGACTCCACCATTGGAGTCATATGGACGTTACTGGCTCCTACAAGTAATAAATTAGGCTGGTATTGAGTGTCCTGCTGTAGTTAAAGGGTATATCTGTGGGTTTGTTATGATTTCCTGCTATCAAAAGGTTTAAAATACAGCTGTAAAACTTCATTTCTGAAGTTAAATTTAACTGTGGAGGTGTCAGCCAGGGAGCAAGGTCTGTTGAGTGGTTTTTTTTTTGTGGTTGGTTGTGGGTTTTTTTTGAAAGAGAGAGTACCAAGAGAAGAAGCAACACTGGGTTTGGCTGGCTTCAACTGTTGGAATAAAACATTATCATTGCATAAATGTCCCTTTTTCTGCTGTAACATTTTTTATCTTCACACAAAGACTGGTACAGGTTGGGTGGACTTGGAGTTTGGATCAGTTACTCAATTTGCTCCTGTTGTTTCTGCCACACAGGGTGACTATGACCCCAGCAGAACCAAAGTTCTTCATTTCAGCATGAACCCAGCGAGCTTGGCCAAGCAGCAGCGCAAGGAGGAGCAGCAGCAGCTCCAGGAGGAGTGCGAAAGGCTGAGGGAGCTGGTGAGGGTGCTCGAAGGAGGCGGCTCCATCCCTGGGAATTTGGAAGGAGTTGGGAGTTTTCAGTCCCCACAAGAAATTGCAGGTAGGCTGCTGGCTTCTGGTCATGAAGATGCACTTACTCATCCGTACTGCCAGAGGAACCAACTGCAGAAGCAGATGGAGACGTTGCAGACCGTGTGCTTGATGGAACAGTTATAAGGAAAATGAAAAAAGCTGGGTTGATGCAGGAGAGAGTTAATGTGTGGTGGCAATCCTGTGGCAGTATGGTATAGAGGGTAGGTGGTAAGGATAAGTAATAATAATCCATATCATTTGCTTATGATAAATGAAATACCAATACAGCAGCCTTCTTAGGCTGGTGCTGCCGATGGAGTAAAAGGAAATATTTCCTTCCTTTCAGGGCTGGTTTAGCCTTTGAGGTAGTACAGACAGCAGGAAATAACTTTCATAGCTGCAGGGAGGCAAGTAGTTGAAATCTTTTCAGACCTGGCTTAAAACAAATTAATATTGTTTATCAGTGTATATGTGCCCCATTAATCACAGCTACATTCAATACTCCATGAAAATAGAGTACATCTTTCACCGAGCTAAATACATTTCACAGAATCTATGGCTCTCCTCCACTATAGTCTGTCTTCCCTTCACATACCTGAACGAGACTTTTTAGTACAGTAACCCCAAAGTCAGCACCTCCAGACGTGCTCTCAGCCTCTGTAAATCAAGGTAAGGATATCAATAAAACGTGACCCATCACCTACAGCACTGCAAGGGGACCAGGCAGAGTCGAGTCATGCTGCAGAGCCCAAGAGATCTTCCTGCTGTAACTCTCTCGCATGTACCTTGCCCTCCAAACGTTTGTGTTAGAGAAGGGAAAAATAAAAGAGAGCTGAAGGTCCACGTGGAGCTAACCTGCTCCAGCAGCACAGACGTGGTCAGTGTCCGGAGGTCAGGATCCTCTCTCGAATGAGGCTAAGAGGGCAGAGCTTTCCTCAAAGGCCATGTGTGCTGGAGACTCCAGACCCACAAAACAGCAGAGCCATAGTTTGAAGAAAATACACAGAAGAGAATATCTTTCATTGTTATGACACCAAAATTCTCTGAAAGTAGCTTGTTTGCTTTCCCATTGCTCAAACAATAGTACTTTATTACTGCTACGAACGTGTTTGTTCCAGCATCTCATGGTGGATTATGGTGCTATATAGCCTTAAAAATACGACGGTGAGAAGTGTAGATGGGGCGGTTTATAAAGTGAAGAGCTGACTGGATGTCAGAGGTACAATGACAGTTTGTCACTGTTGTTAGTGGATGCTCTAACAAATGCATAAGCATTAAAACGCTTCCTGAACGTTGCGGGGAGGCTGCCTTCGCCTGTAGGAGCTTCCAGTCTAAGACCCCGGTGAGATTTGAGCAGAGTTCTTGCAGATAGTTCTTGCATTGTGATTTGAATTCAAAATGCACTGGTTTTTAAACTACAGCAGATGCTGCTGCCCAGTGTCCTTGTCCGTTGTGCCCTGAAGTATCCCAACACATCCAACGCCGCAGATCCCCGGGGCTGACCGTGCCCCTCGTGCCCCAGGGGAGAGTGCCAGGCAGGGACAGAGAGGATCCAGAGGTGGGGTCAACTGTGTCTCTGCCGCTGATGAGTGAACCCCTGAGGTATCATCTCCAGTAATTAGACCATTTCTTCTGGGGGAATGTGTTTCTCGTGTATGCCTCCTGTGATTTGTTATTCATAATTACTATTCCGCTGCTTTTCACACAGCTGCTTTTAGCTGTTTGTGAGGTGCTTCTGTGCTGGGGTGTTACCAGGTTTGTCTTTATCTTATAAGGGATGCATTTTTAAAGCTGTTTTCTCTTCTGCCTTTGATTTCAACAGGAAAGCAAAGAGCTCACTGGGTTTCAGGGTGTTTCCAGCCTCACATATGTGTGATGCTTTTTCTCCTTTTCCCCCAGTCCTGTACTACATCATTCTGACTTCTGGTCACCGACTCAAATGGGAGAGAGCATCAGTTGCAGAGTCTAGCAGGGTGGGAAACACTTCGATGTCGTTTATCACAGTCACAGGAGGGCCCTCTGCATTCTCGGAGTGCCCGTTAGTGCATATGGAAGTGGTTCACGTAAACAAAATGGGAGAAAGAGCTGTGAGTGAAGGACGGAGCAGCCCTGTAGATGACTGTCTTTGAGACCAGGGCATGTGTGTGGTAAGCCAGGTTATATGGGGAGATCTTGGGTTTTTTCCTGTATTTTATGTCCTTGTGTGCATCACTGCCTTGCATGGGGAACATTCTCATTAATAGTCCTAAACCCTCCTTCCTGCTGCGGGAGTGTTCAGCAGTGTGGTCTGAGGATGCAGACTGTGTATTAGGATGTGCAAGAGATGCTGAGGGTGTTATGGCAATGACTGCAGGGTTAGCAGGTGTATCTGAGCTGGCTTTCAGTTAGCCAGAGGAATGCCAGATTTAGCCTCGTGGCTGAGGCAGGGCAGAGCTCCTGGTGGGTTCGGGGACAGCTTCTCAAGCGCTCTGTGCAAGCTGCATCCATGTTTCCACTGACTCTATCCTGCTTAGCCCACGCAGCATCCACAGCGCGGGTGCAACAGCTGTTCCAGGAGTGGTTTAGCAACGTGGATTCGTGTGGCTGGAAAACTTACACTGTCTCTTTCTGGATAAGAAATGGAAGATCCAGCTTTGGCTGTTTACTTAGGATCTCAACAGCTCTGCCCACGGGAACGGCTGCCATATGCCTCCCGTTTTAGTATATTTTGAAGGTGTGAAATGGGGGGCATGTGGCAGAAACTCCCTCTGCTCTGTTTGTCACTGTGCAATTGGCTGCCTTGGGGAGGGAGGGTTATTGTGCAGAATAAGGGAGCAGGTTTCAGTGAGGTTTGTGGAACTGTTTCTATACAAAAATAACAAGAATCAGAAGTTTTCTTGCACCCCTTTCTGTCAGCTGCAATACCCATATGTCTGTTTATCCATATCGCTCGTATGACACATGCAAGAGGCAAATTCAACCCTCTGAGCTTTTGAGGTGAGACATCCCTCGTTTCAGAGTTCAGTGGGATGAAGGGAGACCAAGGACAGAGTAGGAAAAGGGTGGATGAAACCTGGGAAGACAACAAAGGTCATAGGTAAGTTTGCATTTTGCCTTTTGACAGATAGAGGTAAATGTGAGATTTTATTGTCCTGTTTTGTCATATACCCTGAATGGCTTATTGGCAGAGGTGAGGGATTTGGGTGGCCTCTAGCCAGTCAGGTTTGCTGTGTTCAGCAAGCTTATGTGATCTGCAACAATTACACTTAAGGTTCAAAGAATCATAATTATACCAACCAAAAAAAAGGCATTAAGGACAATGATGTTGATGGTTTCGATAATAATGTATTGGCCGTTATTAAATTCGTTTGTTGGACTTGAGTGCAGCACGTTTTTTCCGATCATGGTTCCGACTCCTGGCTAGGTAATAAGGAAATTATTACTGTGGACGTTAAAGCTCATTAAATGTGACTCTATTAAAAATCAAGGTTATGCTGGACTTTAAATCTCTTTGAGCATAACCACTGGAGGCTGCAGCACAACCTGGCAACTTGCCACGTAGTTCAGTGGTCCTTTCCTCTCATTTATGCCGTAATAGTCTCTATTAAAATGGGTACCAGGGCTGTGGCAGAGGAGAGGTTTGAACAATGTGAGCTGTAACAACACGCCGTCCTTTTTCAAAATATAAATTTGCACGCAGGGTTGTGCGGTATTAATGGGGCAGAGCTGTGGCAGCCGCATTACGGGAATGGGCTGTAACTTTATGGGTGTTTTGTTTCTCTCCCGGTGGCTGCCCGGCTCTGGGTTGTATAAGAGGAGAGTGCACCAAGGTCAGGCTGCTGCCATCTGGGGAGAGGCTCCGAGTCCTCCTGTCTCCGAGACAGGGATGCAGATTGTAACAGCTTTGGAAAGGTGGCACGGGGCATCACTGCCCCGCCTCGGAATCTGTTCTAGTGTCTTCTTTTCACACCTTTCTCCCCTCACACACACCTTTTTGTATTTCAGGCTGCATCTTCTTTTTTTCTTCCAGCTCCATAACTTTTCCTGTTTTCTCCTGTTTCTCTCCAGGCCATTTCTGTTTAGATCTTCCTTTTTTGTCTTCTCTGGTCCTGCTGGACCTTTTGATTTTTCTTTTCTGGCACTGCTAGAGATGGAGTTTGGTCTTAGTTGCAAGCAAATAGGTAGGTAGCACCTAATGAGGAACTGACGGAAACAATGACTTGGGTATTGTAGCAAAGCGTAGGTAGAAATGGGGATGCTTCAGGTGCTGATTATTTCCATTTATGCTCTTACCTTAAGGGTGCTATGTTCGAAGGTAGGAACGAGATGACCCGTGGAAGCTGGGTCCTGACTAAAGAACACAGTAATGTGAATTTTCCATGAGCTGTCATGATTTGTTGCTATCCTATAGGTACAGTGGAGTATTCCCTTCTTTCATGCAGCCTCTCCCTATGAGAAAGAGGAAAAGTGCTTTTAATATTTTTTCGGTTGAGAGACAGGCTGGCACCCCTACCAGGAAAGAAGATGGGGAAATCAACCATCTGATTTCAACCATCTGTGGAGAATTTTGGAAGTAAACTGTTTTCCTGAGCATAATCCCACCAAAAAGGAAAGCTACTCATCCATCTCAATGATTTCAGTGTCCTTTTTCTCTCGTTGGGGAAAAGTAGGAAAAGGGGGACCCTAAAAAAGATGCTGCATCTGACATTTAGCAGAGGCTGTCTCCAGCATCACTGCCATGTCAGGGCCTTGTAAAAACGTAATTAATTGGAATTAAATTGGGTAATGAATTAATATTAAAATAATCTAATCTTGTTGAAGTGACAAGCCAGAGATGGTAAAATTTGTCACTGTCCCAGCATGCCTGTGCTTCTGATGAATGTGTTTCTGAGTACAGAAGGTGACAAAAAAGGAGCAGATGGAATTTAAAAGTTGCCATTCTCCATCCACAGTTGGCTGAGCTGTTGGTGCTTGGAAGCCTTGGTGCTTCCTACCATCTGTGTGTAGGAAATCCACACGTGGTGAGGACTGCACCTGCAAATGAAACCT